CTCCTCCTCCTCCTCCTCCTCCTCCTCCTCCTTCTCCTCCTCCTCCTCCTCCTCCTCCTCCTCTTCCCCTCATCCCCCTCCTGCCCCCTTCCCGTCCTCGCCCTCTTGCTCCAGTTATGCGTCTCCCCGTGTCCGCCCTGCCCGTTCCCCCTCTCCGCCCTCCTCTGCATCACCTGCGCCGCATGCGGTGCAAATTGCTTCGTAGATCGTCATGCCGTCTACGGCCTCGCCGCGGAAGCTGCCGTCGCTGTAGTAACGGGCCGACGAGGAGGATAGGGGGGATAAGGGGGAGACAGAGGACAAACAGGAGGAGGTGGAGGGGAGGGGGGCGAGGGAGAGGACGAGAAGGACCAGGAGGAGTCGGAGGATGAGGATGGAGGATGGGAAAGGGAGTGGAGTGGTAGGGGGAGAGTAGGGGAGATGTTCATTCGGCCTGCTGGAACCCGCGTTGTCGCTGACGTCGGTCGTAGGCATTCGCGTTGACGCTGACGTCGCTGACGTTGTCGCTGACGTCAGTCGCAGGCGTTCGCGTTGTCGCTACTGATCTCGCTGACGTAGGCGTTCGTGTTGTCGCTGACGTCGCTGCCATTGCTGGAACCCGCGTTGTCGCTGATGTCGGCGCCCCTCCCACACACGGCCACACACGAGGGACGCCGCGCTCCCTCACCCTGAGCCCCGGTGCCAAGACCCCCGTGTGGATCATCACCTCGTACCAGTTGTCCCTATGGCACCCCGCCCTCACCCTCTCCTCCTCTTCCTTCTCACCCACTCCTCCTCCTCGTCTTTCTCCTCCTCCTCCTCCTCCTCCTCCTCCTCCACCTCCTCCTCCGCCTCCGCCTCCGCCTCCCCCTCCTCCTCCTCCTCCTCCTCCTCCTCCTCCTCCTCTTCCTTATCCCGGACCCCTCATCCCCCTCCTGCCCCCTTCCCGTCCTCGCCCTCTTTGCCTGTTCCCCCTCTTTGCCCTCCTCTCCATCACCTGCGCCGCATGCGGTGCAACTTGCTTCGTAGATCGGCCCCGTCCACGGCCTCGCCGCGGAAGCTGCCGTCGCTGTAGTCTGGGCCCTTTGGAGCCCTTCTTCGTCTTCTTCGTATCGTCATGCCGTCCACGGCCTCGCCGCGGAAGCTGCCGTCGCTGTAGTCTAGGCCCCTTGGAGCCCTTCTTCGTCTTCTTCGTATCGCCATGCCGTCCACGGCCTCGCCGCGGAAGCTGCCGTCGCTGTAGTCTGGGCCCCTTGGAGTCCTTCTTCGTCTTCTTCGTATCTTCATGCCCGTCCGCGGCCTCGCCGCGGAAGCTGCCGTCGCTGTAGACTTGGCCCCTCGGAGCCCTTCTTCGTCTTCGTAGATCGTCATGCCGTCCACGGCCTTGCCGCGGAAGCTGCCGTCGCTGTAGTCTTGGCCCCTTAGAGCCTCCTGGAGGGACGAGGGGAGGACGAAAGCTAAGGGGCGAGGGGAAAGACGAGGAGGGTGAGCATAAGGACGAGGGACAGGATGAGGTAGAACACGAGGAGGAGGAAAGAGAGGTAAGAGAGGGTGGAGGACGAATAGGAGGAGGACGAATAGGAGGAGGGAAGAGAGGGTGGAGTAGGGGGAAGAGGAGGACGAGGAGGGTAAGACTGGGGGATCGCCGACGCGCTCCTCGGACGCGTTGACATCCGCGGCCACGCTGCCCCTGACCTCGTCGCCGTTGGTCGGCACCTGGCCGCGGGGGGCGAGGGGGAGGGCGCAGAGGAGGAGGAGGAGGAGGAGGAGGAGAATCAGGAGGAGGAGGAGGAGGGGGAGGAGGAGGGGGAGCAGCAGGAGGAGGAGAGGGTGAGGAGGGCGAGTGAGCAGGAGGGCGAGGGCGAGGAGAAGGGGAGGGCGATGAGAAGGGGAGGGTGAGCAGGAGGTTGAGCAGAAGGGCGAGGGCCAGGAGGCGAGGGCTAGGTTGGACCTTCTTCCGGCGGGACCGGAGGAGCTCAGTTGCGTCAGCGTCCCCGCCGAAAGCCTACAGCAATGCTTCAACTCTCAACTGTGTACAAGCCTCACACCGCGCAAACCCTGGGCCATCTCGCAATCAATCGGTCTGAGGGTCCCGCGCCGGGGGTGTCCAGGGCACCGCCATCATGAGGCGACTGAACCGATGATCCCTGCAGAAGGACTGCCAGCACGGGGCGCAGTAGACGTCGCCTGGGATCCAGTGCCACCCGTCCCACTTGAAGACGTGCCTCACCATTGGTGAGGATGCGCATCCGATGCACCCCCTACGCTGCTTGCAGTGCGGATTGCCCGCAAGCGGCTCCTCCTGAGGCCCCTCCTGCGGGTTCTCCGACTCCGCGCTGTCGAGCTCCCACGCCGCGGCATCCGCCTCCATCGCGTACTCCTCTTCCTCGGCCTCCTCTTTGACGAGCTGATGGTCGTCCTGTGGGTCCTCATCTTTCACGATGTCGTCCTTCATGAGCTCCCACGCCGCGGCATCCGCCTCCATCGCGTACTCCTCTTCCCTCGGCCTCCTCTTTGACGAGCTGATGGTCGTCCTGTGGGTCCTCATCTTTCACGATGTCGTCCTTCATGAGCTCCCACGCCGCGGCATCCGCCTCCATCGCGTACTCCTCTTCCTCGGCCTCCTCTTTGACGAGCTGATGGTCGTCCTGTGGGTCCTCATCTTTCACGATGTCGTCCTCTGAGACCTCTTCGTCGGCCTCCTCTTTGACGAGCTGATGGCCGTCTTCCGGGTCCTCGACGACGTCGGCCTCTGGGACCTTTGCATCGGGCGGGCCGATGATGATGCCCTCCACGTCGGGCCTGGCCTCCTGGAGCAGGTGCCAGCACTCGAAGCAGTATATTGGGCCGTCGGTGTAGTTTGCCTCGAGCCCCCCGCTGGTCATGATGATCTCGTGCAACACCCGCCTGACGACGCCGTCGGCGCCACAGGCGCACTGCCACTGCGCCGCCCCGCCGTGCCACAAGCGCACTGGCACTGCCGAGCGCCTCGCCGTCCGCGCCGCCGATGCCGACGCCTGGCCACTGACGTCGCCGTCGCACTTCGCCTCCGTGGGGGGCTTGAGGAGGTGCGTAGGCGGCGGACATGCTGGCTGCTTCGGCCCGCCGATGCGGCGACGCCGCCACGCGCCGCCCTCCCGACGCGAACGCCTGGGGGGCGTCACAGGCGCGGGTCCCTGGAGCTCGGGCGTCTGCTGAAACTGGAGCCAGAGCTCGGGCGGCAGCATCTTGGACGACGGCCGCTGCTTGGGCGTCGCCCGGATCTGGAGCCGGGGCTTCTTGAACGGCGGCCGCGCCTTGGGCGTGGCCATGTCGCCAGGAGGTGAGCGCGAGCGCCTGGGCGAGGGCATGATTGGCAGAGCAGCGGCGGGCCACGCTCGGCACAAAATGGGGACAGACGGGCAGTGGCGTCGTCGTTGTCGTCGTCGTCCTCGTCCCCTGCCTCCTTCCTTCTCGTTCCTATCCCCATCATTT